GCAGTATAATCGAACAAATATTCAGCATGCAGCAAGTCTATGCTGTTTCTGAAAGTCTGAGACTTTTCGAAACACTTTTGCTGCTGCTGTTGCTGCTTTCTTTGGAAAAGATTACCTGAACCGAACATCCAATTTCTGCACCGTTTCTATCGAAAATCTAGATGACAAAATGGCTGACTGTCAGCCATTTTGTAAGAATGCAGGCAGCGAAATTAATCCTGGGCTTTTGTTTCAGGTTAATTGTTTCCAAGTTTGGCTATCACACCGAAGGACTGACAAGATTTTAAGAGAGACTGGCACCACTTTTCTATCTGGGAACTGCCTCCAATAATTTTGGCAGTCCTGCTCTTGACTGTGCTTGTACAAAAACTGAAAGCACCATTTACTTATAAAGCAGCTATTTTGTTCCTTGTTTTTATAATCTGCGAGACTCTTTTGATAAGACAGAGCAGCATCTGAAGCTATAAATGCTTCTGTAAAAATATTTGGGTTTTGAGGCAAGCTTAGCATTTGCAATTGCTTGTTTGTTTGCATACAAAATGCTGTTTTGGCCACATTTGGAATGTGTTGGCTTTGCCAGTGCTAGAATTTTAAGACAGCCAGCAATGTTATGGATAGTGGCACTTTGATATACTGTAAAGCCACAGGAAAACACACCTGTGACATCTCTTTTCCTAGAAATGTGCATGAAATAAGGATTCAGAACACTTGATTCTTGCCACAAGGGGGAATTTTTTTATTATTATTACTTACTTATGATGACTTGGGAACCTTCCAGTCATTAAAAACTGTAAGTGTTCCCTCTCCACAATATATCGTAGCATTTGCACTGTTTACTGTGGCCAAATAAACTAATTCTCAGTTCCATATTTTTCATCATCACTCGTTCTGAAGATGTGAATAGATCTTTCATCTAAAATTTACGTAAAAACATTGCTGCTTCCTTTTGTGAAGTTTCAGGCTGTGTGGGAACATAACTATCTTTTTAGGGGGTTAAAGTTTGCCAAGTAAATGTATTATTTGAAGATGGAGGTGAGGGTTAAAGATCTACTTTCATGTTAGATATATGTCATTTTCCTCTGCTTTAATTAGATACTTATATTTGTTTGTGGAAGCCCTTCCCTTTGCAATCAGTACCTCCCCCTCACCAGCAACTAAACAATCAAAAAGAATAATTTAAAAAGAACACTAAGGGACCTACTTTTGTTTCTTGTTTGAGGACAATAAAACAAAACAAATAGCTTTTTCTGTAGCCTCTAAGCTAGACATATTTTTCTGCTCAGTTACACCCACTGAAAACATTTTATGTTCCAATATTCCATAACTGTTGATAATCTTTAATTGCTTGTTTAAATTAAATCTGTAAAGCAAGCTCTTCTAGCCATAAATGAAATGTTGGGTACAATTTCAAATTGAGTGAACAAGCTTTTGATTTCTACTGCTGTGTCCAAGGAATGTGAATGCACAGAAACAGAACTATTTTATTTAACCTTTGCAAACGTTCCTATTCCCCTATTTCATGTTGAGTTATTTATACTGCATATATATATCTTGTGAAGTAATGGGAGCTCCATTATTATGAAATAACTAGTTGTGAAATTTAATCTATACCCATTGGTGGGATGCAGCCAGTTTGCACCACTTCAGCAGAACCGGTAGCTAATTTTTTTGTTGCCCAGGCCCAGAATGGACTTCAAGAAGTGACATCCATGTTCACATATTTGAATCCCCCCTCCAAAGTCTATACCACTGAAAAATGGGATTTGATAACTGCTCCTCTGTGATTTCCGTGTTCTCTTAGGTGTTCTGCTCTCAACAGCAGCTATTTTCTATTGTGCTTACACATTCTCTATTGAAGCAGGGGCCTGATCACATGTTGACCCTTATTGTTATAATAAAAATAGAAACAGGGTTTCCTGATTCAAATTAGGAGTATTGTAAGTCACTGTGGTGCTTTAATTCCACATCTGCTACTTATTATATCCAGCACTGCCCATGTGAACTGTGGAGTTTTTTTTTGTGTGTGTGTGTGTGTACATTTAGTAATCTCTCACCTGAAAATAATGGAATTAGAATGAGTAACTTGTTGCTAACCTAGGTAAATATTGCTAATATTTAAAATCAAGGTGGAGTATGACCTTTAAAATGAAAATGTGTGCATCAAATGGCAGATGAGAAAGAGCACTTATGCTGTCATTACTGAAAGCAGACTTACATTGAAACTGGATTATGAAACTCTTGTTGACTCTCATATGGTACACATTTTTTCCATCAATACAATATTTTGAACTTCTTTATTTGTGCTTCCCTGCACCATCAGAAGATATAGGCATACAGCACTTAGCCTTCTTTTATTTTCTTTGGAATGACATCACTGAGAACTTCAAATATTTAGAAATCTGAATTTTTGTACAGATATAAGTGCCCAGCATGGAGACAAATAATAGAAATATTCTTCCAAAACAGTTTTGCTTTCCCACATCATATCTCCAAATAGGCACTACTTAAATCCTGTTAGCTTATACTGCTCCAAAATTTTGACTTGACCTTATCATAGAATTAATGCAAAGGTCTGTTGTACTATATTCTTTTAAATCTAAAAAAAAATTTTCTGTTGGTGAGGGGTGTGTGTGTGTGTGTGTGTGTGTGTGTGTGTTTGTGCATAGACAAAGTATATGATAGGAAATTATATACATACAGTATGTGTGTGTGTGTGGAGAGAGAGAGAGACAGACAGACAGACAGACAGACATATATGTATATATTTTTGTTGGGAAGCACTTTTTAACAATTTTTATTGAGAAACATTAAATAGTTCACACTCTTAATATTCATTTGACAAATTCTGTCAGCCTCTTGTCTTCCAACAAGTAGATGTTCTTCAGATGTCTTAGACCTCTTATATAAACTTCGAGTAGAATAGTAGCATTAAAATTTTAGCTCAAGGGTAAGTTAAGAGCCCAATTCTACAATTTTAAAAAAATGCATGAGTAAGTTAGTTTTTCTGATCAGGTTTGATGCAAATTCTGACATAAGGTTAAGTGTTTTCTATTGATTGATATGGGTTAGCCACAGATACTTACAACATTTATTCCATGTTCCATACATAGATTTATATCCTGCATTTCTTCCAAAGGCTCATGATAGCTGGGGAATCTTGCTGCATTTTTCTGTGAAGTAGGTTAGCTGAGGAAAAAGTCACATAGTGAGTTTTTATGGCTGAGGCTGGATTTGAACTTGATTCTTCCAAGCTCCAATATTACACTACACAAATATACTTTTTAATGGAATGGGATAATCTTTGCAAGGATAATAAATGATTTCAACTTCAGAGAAATAAGTGCAAAGATTTTGGAGCTAGGCTTGTTAGATCACAGAGAAGAACAGAAAGGAAAAAGAAAGTGTTTATAATGTTATGGTTTGGCCAGATCTAAATTGTACTCTAACATACTTGCCCACTTTGTGAGGATTTTGTGAAAAAGGATTGTGTACAAATTATGGTAGTAAAAATGAGTATGTAGATCATCTAGGTAAACAAATTTTAAAGAAATTCAGTCTGGTAAGAACCCTTCAGAATTGCTTCAGATTATGAAAAGGGACTTAGAGCTCAACTTTTTAAAATATACATAATGAATTGTATATATAATTAAATATATATACATATATACCTGCAAACATAAAGTTATAGGCTTAGTTCATGCCTGTAACGGTGTGGGGGGGGGGATGTTTATAGAATCAGATGACATTTGCAGGCACAGGACAGTATTAATATTTCCCTCCTAGATACTGTTGATGAAATCTGAATATGTAATAAAATACACAGTCAGCTAGACTGAAATACCACTATCTGATTCTGACATGATTGTTTGAAAGATTTACGTTGTTTTAAAAATTTGTGCTACAGCTTTTGATTGCTATAAAAATTGTATCTGATTAGATAAAGTTGTCTAGAAAAATAGAAAAAAGTTATGTATAATTGTAAAAAACCTATATGGAGGTTAATTGTGTTACATCTTTTAAAAAACTTGGTATACAGATGGTATACAGCTTCAAATTTTTAGGATGCTTTTATTATTTTAATTAGATAAAATAAGAGCCTCAATTGAAAGCCCTGACTGTGAAGTTTGGTTTTCTTTGGTGTTTGAAGGGTTGTCTTTTTTTTTTCAACTTCCTACTGAAAACTGTCAGGAAGTTGCTACTTTTCAACGGTTTACCAGTGAACCTAGGAACACAAGTTTGATTAAGCTATAATAACAATACTTTTAAAAAGAAATCTGGAGGCAAGGGTCAAATGCATTTAGTGAATCACTGCTTCATGGCCGTAGAAACTATCTTTAGTCCTGGTAGCACAGTGATTAAAGTGCAGTATTGCAGGCAAACTCTGCCCACAGCCAGAAATTCGATCCTGAATGGCTCAAGGTTGATTCACTCTTCCATCTTTCTGAGGTTGGTAAAATGAGGACCCAGATTGTTAGGGGCAATATGTTGACTCTATAAACCACTTAGAGAGAGCTGTAAGCATTATGGAGCGGTATGTATTAGCAACAAGTGCTATTGCTATTTAAAAGTGTTCATCAGAAATCATTCTCTATCTCCCACTCTCTCATTAGGATTGTTTTACTATTTTGTTTTTACATTTTGAGCTGCAATAGGAATCCACATGAATGAAAGTATTTTCATTAAAAAAAAATAAGCAAAGATGAGAGTGAGAGTGGACAAATACAATTTTTAATTCCTCTCAGTTTCTTATGAGTCCCAATTTTAAATTTATTCCATCCTGGTTGTCACATTGTTAGGAACTTTTAACAAATAATATAAATATTTGTTCTCATTTTTTTCCCATATGTTTCTAAAGTGTTCATTATTTTAGAAAGGGGAAAAATTATCTTCAGTTCTCCAATAAACTCCATAAACTCACTAAACAAATCATTTTTGCATATAATAATATTACATTTTTAACTAATTTATGTGTTTCTCTTAACTGTTTGCCCAATATACAGAAAGAGAGAGAGAATGGATTCTACTGGATGCAGAAATGGTGGCAGAAGGTAAGCCAAGAAAGTTGCTTTCCCTCTAGTTCTACTCCTTCTCCCACTTCAAAGGTTGTTTTTAAATAGTAAGACCCCTTGCACTCTTCTGAGGTAAGACGGCATCTTTACCACAGCTAGTGTTTGGATCTAGACCTGAGAATGCTCTCTAATCTATACACTATATTTCATTTAAAATTAATTTTATTTATGTGTCCCATGTAATGGCAATTACAGGTACTTTTGCAGATTAGATAGTGGACTTTGTAATCATCTAAAATCTCTATATTATTCAAACTAAGTTTATAATTCAGCTTTTAAAACGGATAGATCTAAACTATTAAACATAATATATTGAGAAATTATTCATTTTTTTCCTCCCTTAACAGATATTCTTAAGTAAGGCAGATGAAGGGGAGGGGGGCGAATAAGGAATTGTAGAGAGAAGATTATGCTCACTAGAGACCTTGTGCAATGTAGCCTTTAGCTACTTGTCTTCCATGTGTGAACTGACTGGAATGGAAGCCAGCTTAAGAAGTTTTTATCTAAATCTCATCTCCTTCCTCCGTATTAACAACAATGACAGTCAGATGTCCAACCTGGTCAGAATTACCAAAGTTCACAATTGGTGGATTCCCCTGCTTTTTTACTCCTACCACCCACGTTGGAAAAGCAAGCATAAATTGCTTTCCTTTTTATGGATCTTGCTTTTGAGTTCTTGTGGAAAAAAATAAGTTTTATAGTTTTTCCTGTCACTTAGACTAGAAGTGGAAAATTGCTGGAAGAAAGGAAGAAAGCAAGACAAGTCAGCATTTCATTACCCCACAGAAGAAAAACTACATTTCATTGTTCTACTACTTAATCTGAAAAACAAAAACAAAACAAAGTCTAATATCATGGAGTCCAACAGTACAGCATAAAATGACTGTTGGAGAACAAAGATTGAGGGGTACACTGCATACTAGCCATTTGTGTAAAATGGAATGAAGTGCAGAAGGTGGACAAGGCTACCTGACTACTTGCTTCCACCAGAAGAGGGCAAGATGAGTACTTTTTATGCAAATCAATAAAAGATCATCTACCCAGCAGCCTAGGTGCGAGATGAGGAGGAAATGATCCATTCCTGCCCTCTCAGAATCTGAATTCTGGTCTCCACTCTGTATATACTTTCATGTGAGAAAGAGGGAAATTAAACAATGAAAATTGTGGAACTGGAAAAAAATCATAGCGGGTCTCTTTTATCAAGTGCTTAACTGATTTCTTGTGGATGTCTTAAAAAACAACAACAAAAACTTGCTTCAATACAACTTCAAAAGCCCAATGCGTTATATTTGCTGATATTTTCTCATTTTCTGTTTTTGTAGATTGCATTTGATCAGCCACCTTTATCTGAACCTCAAGACCATAAATGTTCTTCTTAGCCATCATTGAAGTTTGCCACTCCTAACCATCAAAACAATGCTGTCCTTGAGGCTGAGGTAGTAGATTGAATAGTTGTGGAGCCATCTTCTCCCTTTGAACTAACTATACAATCTACTGTCTTTCCTAAGGAGACAGTCAAATCAACTGCTCCCATGGGATTACCTATTCCTACATGCAAATTTTTGTCATGAACAAGGACCATTTTGGGGCCCTTGGGTGTCAGGCATGCAGTTCTACAAATATGCAAATGTGTGAGTCCTTTGTGTTGCTTTGTGGAGGTGAGGTAGTAGGTTGTATAGTTTGTGGGAGGGATTATATCCCATTTCAGGTGATAACTATACAGTCTATTGCCTTCCTTAAGGAGCAGCAAATCTGCTTTAAGAGGTGAATGATACAGCAATTATATGCCACACTGAGCAACCCAACAAAACCCTGCTCCTTATTGATTCTGAGTTGGAGGAAAAGCTTCTACTTGTACTCTGGATTAAATACACCAATCATGCACTCCTTTTTCTTTGCTAGATTTCTTCATATAGTATGTTCCTTTCCTCTTTTTCCACCTTAGATTTCTCTTTCTCTTCCTTCCAGCACACCCACATTACAACTCTGCCCCTTCTCCCACATAGGTGGAAAATCTAGTCATCAAAGATTCATGTTGAACACTTGATAGTCTAATGAAAAGCCTTCCTATATTTGACCTTATCTCTCATGGCAAAGATAATCTTATATACCTAGCTAACCAATGCAATGACACTCATTCAAAAAGATATTAGCATGCTAAAATACATACTTGCTAATAGGAGTTTAGATACAATTTACTCTAAGCTGGGAAATAGCATATATCAGCTTTCCAAACACCACTCATGTGTCCAGGTGGCTGTGTGATCCCACAGTCTTTTTCTCTCTCTGAAAGATCTTAAAGAAGGTTGTTGTAATCTGTCCCTTATGCAAATGTAACATAATGCAAATATTTGCATAAGTCTTCTTCCAAGTGTGAAATTGGGATAATGCTACTAGGAAGTGTCAGCACACAAGAAACGATTGCTTAGTTTATTTGGCTTGTTATCATTTATTGCAAAAGCTTTTGTTGCTCATGTCATTATAGATTTGCTGAAATCATATTCATTTTGCTTCTCCCTCCCCCCCCCTTCCTGCAATGGCAGGAGCAGCACAGTTGGTTTCTCCCATTATTGAAACATGTCTCCGTGGAAGTCTGCCCCATTTGTTTCCTAGATTGGCATCCCCTGGACAGGACAGCCCATTTTCTTCTGGTCTGGCTGCCCAGACGTCCGATTTTTGGGTTTTTTGGGGGGAGGATTTGAAATGGTTGAATTTTGAGGGGTTGGGAAACACAGCTTTCTCACTGGTGGAAACTCTCACCAATGTCTGATCCTGGTCCTTCCCTTCCCTAGCACCAATAGGCCAGCTACTTCTCCATGACACTTCAATGCTCTCATACAGGGCTTCAGGGAAGTTTAGCAAGCACTTTTCTTATATTCCCCACTATTGTGAATAAGTGGTGCAGCAGAACAAGGAGAGGGAGGGAGGCATCTTGGCTGGCAGCCATTTTTTGTGCTCATTGGAGGAAGGGGCTGCTGGTAACTCAGGCTGAGTTTTCAGGATAATTGTCTAAGAATGAGTGTGGGAGAAGACTGGATGGTACTTTTTGCTGTTGCTTTTTTAAAAAGGATTGGTAGTGTGAAAAAATCCTTATCTGCCAGAATTCCCTAAATGTTACATTATTTCAGGATATTTTTTGTGCACATATGTATTTAGCATATCATACATGGACTAGCAAAATATAATAACATTTCACCTAGACTACTAAAACACAGTAAGATATAAATGTTAAAAAGATCTATGTTCAAATACTAATGTCTAGCCAGGGCTTTTCAGCCTTTTCACCCATTGTACCACTTTTAGGATATGGCAATATCCGAGTACCACCAGTCACCTAGCAAAAACTTGTCAAAAACTTGATCCCCCCCAAGAAAAGGAAAAAAGTAATAAAGTACAGATAGTCCTCGACTTATAACAGTTCGCTTGGTGACTGTTTGAAGTTACAATGGCACTGAAAAAAGTGCCCCCCAAGCCACAGGGGAGCAAGACACCTGCCCACCCGGCGGCGCTCTTCCTTCTGTCCGAGATTTTCATTGTTATGAGCATTTCTGTGGAGGATTGGCAGTGGGGATGGGGTGGGGGCGTGTTTGGTTTTTATTCCCCCCGTCTGCTGGGTGGTTGCAGCAGATTTTGGTCACTTCACATGACCCTGGGACACTGTGACCATCATAAATATGAATCAGTTACCAAGCATCTGAATGTAAATCACAAGACCCTGGAGATGCTGCAACATTCCAGCTGATCGGTGCTTCTTCTGGGGCCTGGCGCTAATCCTGGTGCTTCCGCTGAGCCCTAACAGCCCCGAAGAAGTGCTGATCCTGGCGCTTCCACTGAGCCCTGACAGCCCTGAAGAAGTGCTGATCCTGGCGCTTCCGCTGAGCCCTGACAGCCCTGAAGAAGTGCTGATCCTGGCGCTTCCGCTGAGCCCTGACAGCCCTGCATCTCCAGCCATCTCTTGCTCAGGCTTGTGCGGTGCTGCCACTGGTTCAGCTCATTCCCCTCCCCCACTACCACTTTTCTAGGATGGTCACGTACCACCTGCCAGGTGCCAATGTACCACAGGTGGTACCCATACCACTGGTTGAAAAACCCTGCTCTAAGGTACTTTGGATGGGGATTATAAAGGAGTAAGTTGTTTAAGTAGACATTGCAGCTGAAATTTTCAAAAACAATGTTCATGAAATCATGAAGAAATGTAATGCTTGAAATATTAAGGGAAAATAAAATAGCAATCCCCAAAATCAGCATTAACATAACATGAATGAATGAATCCATCTATGTTAGAACTGAACACCCCTCTCTAAACAAAGGGGGAGGAATAAGACATCATCTATCTCCAGTTTACAACACAGCCCTTGCAGCAGTTCCAAGAAGATTCCACAGCCAATTGCACCCTGATTCAGGTGACCCTGAAGGGACAGATAAACCTCCAAGTGGCCTCAACAGCTCTCAGAGAGAGTTCTAACGACCAGATGACTGCAAAGAAATATAATCCTTCCATCCCCCCCCCCCACCATCCTATCAGAATCTATCCTTCTACCTCCCTACCATCCAATCTCAACTGCCAGTACCTATCCTTCCATCCCCCCCCACCATCAAAACTAATGAAACTTCTTAGATGAGAAGTGAAACATTTTCTTCTTCCTCCTCAAGGAAAAGACTGTCCAATTGCCTTTTGAAGAAAAAACCCACCCTTGAGACTACTATGATCTGGATGACTAAGAATCTCCACAGATATGCTTCCCAGTTTATTTTTTCAGCTCAGTGGGGTTAATATCATTACACGTCTGTATTTGTGGCAAGTTTAAATCTTTGGAAGATATCGGCCAATTCAGTGGGCAGTGTTACATATTGCTTCTGCTGCCTAATCCTTAAAATAGTCTAAAGCTGTCCTGTAATGATCTCCAGAATGCAGAAAGCAAAATTATAGCAGCTGAATCACTATCAGAGCAGAAGAAAGAAACTGAAAGGTAAATTTCCCCCAACCAAAACAAGAACCATCAAGTGCTGCGAAACTATGGTGCTTTGGGGCAAAAAAAATCAGTTTATTATTATTTAAGATGCACCACAGTTGAACTATCAATTAATAGATGTGGTTCCTGGATGTAGCTGATGATAAAAGATTAGATGGTACTAGAGTTCTAAGCTACTGCAAAAATGTAGTATGGAAGCATATTTTTGCTTTTTCTAACTTTATAACTGAGTTTGTCTTGACCTTGCTCATGGCTTCATCCCATTTGTCAGTTATGAATTAAGAAATTCAGCATTTCTGAGTGTTGAAGGTTAGGGATGAAAGATGACCGTGCTCATAACATACAAAGCAAGCACCAGGGAGGTTGACTATGCTTGTATTTGCCTTGATTCCAGGCAAATTTGAAATTCTGAAGCCTGCATAGGTAAAAAGAAAAAAGAAAGAAATCTCTTCAATGGAAAACAGAAAACAATTCCCAATGGAGTGTTTCCTTAGGCTGTAGAAGTGTGATAGAATATTGTGATGAAATACTGTAACAATATCATTGCAAATTTTAAAATATAGTTGGCTTTTCCTCATTTGCTGATAGAGGCAGTTTTATATGAGGAGGCTTCTGTGCTGTAGAAACTGCCAGTAGGAGGGGCATTATGCTAGTACAGTAGAACATTTAAAATGCTTGAATATTATCTTCCATTTTAACCCTTTTATGCTTCATCACTTCATCCAGCTCTTTTCTTTCCAGAAAAAGTCCGTTAAGGAGGAAAACACCACACAATGCCTTTTAATCAATTGCACTAGCCATTTGTTGGATGGGGGGGGGGGATCCCAAGAATCTTGGCTTACATATCCTCCTGTAAAAACAGGATGCTTTAAGCTTGATGCTTGCCAAGGAAAATTTTAAAATGTGCTTACAAGGAGCACACATAGTTCAGCAAGTGACATGACTTGGCATGAATTCTAGGCGGACATCACTGTTAACACGCTTGCTCTTCTTTTACAGCTTTTATACTGTGTCTGCACTATCATGATTTTATCATACTTAGTATGATTTATTTCTTTATAAAGATAAACTAGATTTTTCTGTCACTTTGAGTATTTCAATAAGTATTACTAGTGGGCAATTCATTTGAAGGGCTTAGGGATTTTCACATAAGGGGGGGGGTTGTACCATTACTCTGCACCATTCAAGAATTTTTGCAGGAGTACCCATTAATGGCAACCTTATGTTTTTCTTACCAGAGTGGAGATATATTGACCAAAAAATTAGAATATCTGCAGTTTGCCTTTTGAATTATAGCAATTACTATCTTCCTCTTTCTACATCAATTCCCAATAAGTGACATCTCTTTTCCTTTTTATTCCTGTGCTGTTTTATCTTCAGACCTGTAAGATATAACATTGCAACAGAATTACATGCAGTAAGAATTCTGGGTACTAGGTTATTTGGTATAAGACAATTCAAAAATTGTATTTTAAAAAAATAATTTTTTTTTAAATTGCATTTAGTTCCTTGCCAGGAGTAGTTCAAGAACATAACTCAGCATCTCAGAGTTTGTATAAATTTTTATTTAAGCAAAAGCAGATGTGGAACACTACTTTCATGTCCAATAGTCCTGCACAATTTTTGACCATGCTTAATGGTGAGCACAAAAGTGGAGACAAAAATGAACTTTTACAATAGTGCTAGCATCACTTCTATGGAAGAAAGTTTTGGATTTTCACAACCACATCACTGAATGGAACTTGCCAATGATGGGGTTTTTTTTCTCCCACATTTGTTCTGAAAGAAGAACAAAGCAAAGCAGCTCTCTTTTGCTCAGTGAAAGTACAGAAGCCACTGTTAGCAGAGAGGAATGAAACACCACGATTGCTTATCTTGGTTTTCTCTATTTTTGTAGGTGGATGTTGTTTTCTTCA